GACCACCACTTGGAGAAGTCATATCCAACCACCTACGCACTGACGGTGCGGATGAGAAGCCATTATCATTGCTAAGAGCCGATTTCCTACCAACCTCCCTAGGAGCGTTGGCAAACAACCCGTCTAAGAAATCGGTAGAGCCATCAGGAGTTTTGCGTCTATCGGCCTCCCCTTCGAACAATTTCCTTGGCTGGTTACCCCTTCCATTTGGTATTAAGGGAGCGAACTCTTTCCGAAACGCTGGTCCCCGGGCAGGACGAGATAATTCATCCCGTGAGTTGAATCCTGTAGGGACAGGCTTTGTAGAGGGAGGCCGCTCGGGACGTTCAATATTTCTTTCGAGCGGAGGCCGGTCGTTTTGGGGAATTATCCCATCTCTGCGTAAGCTCTGCTCGACTTCTAGCTGCTTTTCTGCATTCCACACATATCGAGCCTGTAGGTCGGGGTGAGGATTCGATTTCGGAGGTTCGGGTGCCTGTTTTTCGGCCTGCTGTTTTTCGGCCTGTTGTTTCTCGAGCAATCGCTTGCGCGCGAGGATCTCATGCTGATTTAAGACGTCATCCTGCTTCGGCGACGAGAACTTGGGAGCACCCCAGCTACCCCATCCGTCGTCATTGGCGAGATTCTTCGTACTTGAGAACTGCCGTCTCCGTGTAGGAAGCTGTAGCAAGAGGCGATGTCGACAGAAGGCGCATATCGAGGTCTCCCGCTATGCAAGTTTATTAGGTACGTGCGACTAGAAATACTAGGTCTCGCGCTAAGGGTAAACTAACCTTTGATATCCTCGCTCTTAGCATAATGGAAACAATTGGTTTAAATCGCTATGCGACATCTGAAGCTCGAACAATTCGCAGGACCACGTCTCGAGCAGTTGGCCGATTGAGATAAAAAAGTTCCGTCTCGCGACGCCACACGTCAAATCATCGAAAAAATACATTACCTACCGAATAGTGGGGCAGCGGGGGTCGGGACAATCCTGACGATCTAGCGGCAGCAGCTAAGCCACGCATTTCAGGGGCAGGGGGGCAAAGGGGGTAGCTTCAGCCACATCCCCCTTCATCTCGAAATTTTACTAACATCAACCCCCTTCCTTCTAGAGTCAAGACCTCTCTATTTGATTTCTCTGTTACACTTTCTGCAACTACATAGCCATGGCACGCCAAAGGGTTCCAGGAAAGTCGGGGCCTACCAAGAAGAAAGATGGCGGCCCGCCCGTACCCTTCAAGCGACCCCCGGAGGTGCTCCAGCCGTTCATCGACACGCTCGATGAGAAGCACGTGTACATCACGCACGTCGACAACAAGCCGCAAGATTTCAAGCGCAAGATATTCGCCGTGCCGGTGCTGATGAATCTCGGGCTGGCCGCGCTGTTTGCCTACCGCATGTACTACATCCTGCCCTACTACCTGCAAATCTTCGCCTCCATCCTGGGCTACCCCAACGAGACCACCATGGTCGTCGACGAGATGGACTGGTCCGAGATCGTCCCCGAGGTCGCCAAGCGCGCCTTCTCGTTCATGCTGGATTTCTTGTTGTGCGTATTCCTCTGGCCGTGGCCGGTGGATTTCTGTCTGCCCCAGGAGCACGGGAGCCCCGTCCTGTGGCGGTGGACCGTCGGGTTTCGGGATCGCGAGGTCGTGGTGCGGCGCAGCAGGAAGTGGAACGACACTAAAGGGGACATCGTCAACGACGCCGGCTCCAAGAGCCTCTTCATGTCGCGGATCAGCGCCGCGACATCGCCCCTGCTCCTCGGCGAGAAGACGGGCTACCTGCTCATGAACGCCGACTGGGATCTGGACTGGGCGGGCATGGTCGACGCCCACACCATGGTTGATAAGAAGATGGCCGCGATCGAGGCCTTCAAGATGGTCGTCCTATTTTTCCACGAGGAATTCGGCTGGCTCTGCGTCGACATGAAGCTCGGCGAGGGCGGCGAGGAAGACGAGAGAAGGCGCCAGGTGTTCGCCTTCAGGGACGCGCTCACCGCTGTTGGAAAGGAAGACTTATTCTACCGCTGGATCGATATTGTCCAGTTGGAGGCATCGCAGCCCGGCGGTTTCACGACTGAAAAGCAAGAGCAAGTCGCGAAGCAGATTAGGGACATGTTTGACAAGCAGGGTATCGATTTTGACGAATTCTGGAAGGAGAGCGTGGGAGAGAGTATACCTACTGGCATTTCTGGTTCCTCTAAACCCGGGATGTAATAAATAAGTGTGGACACAAGAAAAGAATATATTTGTACCATCCTACTTGTAGAAAAAATTAACGTAGAGTGTATCGTTCCCATGGTCACAGACAGAATTGAATATCCATCTACATGGGGGTAGGTAGTAATCACATAAAAATTATCGCAAATACTACATTACGCGAAGCAGTTAGGAAACTCAGTGCTTGTACTTGTCACAATCGAGCCCATGATGTGCAAAGCATTCAAAGCTTTCTTATTGATATGCAACGGGACTAATCCCCATCTTCTGTCGGCTATGCAGAATGCTATGTCTAAAGCAACCGAATAGACGAATTCAAGTTCATTTCGTTGACTTCTTCTTCGCGGGCTTGCCTAGGGCGGCCTCACGCTTCTTCGACTCCTTGGCTTCAATCTCAGCCTTTCGTGCGGCCTCGTGGGCTTCCCGTTCTTCTTTCTCAGCCTAAATTAGACTGTTAGTATATGTTTGGGTATCAAATGAGGTAGGCAGTAACAAACCTGTTTTCTCGCAGCTTCGGCTTCTCGCTTCTCACGGATGAGCTTCAAGCGAGCCAGATCGGCCTTGGCCTCATCGGTCTTGCCAGCCTCATGCAGCTTGCGATATCTCTCCTTGGCCTGCTGAGCCTCCATGGACTCGCGCTCCTTTCGGCTCATGGCCACGTTCTTGACACCTTCAGTCACCTCCTCGACAGGGTCGGGTTGTGCCTTGGTCATGTTCCGCGCGGCCTTGGAGTGATTGGGGTTCGCAGGCATGTCCTCATCCTCTTCAGAATCGGAATCGCTAGGCATATCGCCGACCTGGACGGTCTTGTTCCTCTTTGCGATGGCTGCCTCCTTCTGGGCCTTCTTGGCCTGCTTGCGCTCGTCTCTGGTAAGCTCGCCGGTTTGCTGGGAAGGGCCGGCATCCGAGTCCTCCTCAGAGGATTCCTCCTCCGAGTCCTCTTCCTCGTCATCGTCAGACTTCTTTTGGGCGTTTCCGCTCCACATGCTGATCTCGTTGCCATCTGCGTCGAGGGGTCGTAGGTCACGAGAGAAGTGCTTTCCACCTAATAGGGCAGTGATGTTAGCTTGGTATTGACACAGGTGATTTTTTTAATATGACTTACCACCGCGCGAGTAGTTCTTGAACTTGCCTCCACGGCCTCGGGAGTTGGCACCTGGTGCTCCGCGTCCAGACATGATGATATGTGTTGAAGAGAGTAAGAAAAAGATGATTGATGGAGGGGTAGCTAATGGAAAAACCACTGAAATTGCTTCCAGTACGACGCAGAAAAAACAGTTCGACTTATAGTTGCAAATGGCTTTTAATTTTGCTTTCACTGAATAGAAAAGAATGAACAATCCAATTCACCTATGACGGTGACAAAAGGAAAGTCAAGGGCCTCAGGTCTCGAGTCAAACGACAAGACGTGAAAGAGGGGCAAACAAGACGTGGTGCTTTGACGCAGACGATAAGATCGATTAGTGCTTAGTTGCGAGAAGGAGTCAGAGATCAGATGAAATGGCGGGGTAATCAAGGGGCGCTACGTTACCTGATGAATTACCGCATCTCCTATTGGGCAGAAATCACTTTTCTCTTACCTCCTTTAGACTACCTCCACTTCAGCACAGTTGGGCTCCTGTACTTCAAGTCAGGGCTGCTGCGAAAAGGTTTAGCAAGCGTTTAGTGTGCATCATCTACCGAAAGTAGGCTAAACTTTTATTGAATTATACATGGGCGGTGCCCAGACGGATGTGGCTTGACAGCATTGGACGGCCACCGGAAATACTATCATGCCGATCTACGCGTCCCCACCGCGTCCAATCTAATCAAGTCAATTTTTTTTTGGAACTTCTTTCCTTCTTTCTTTTCCTTTTCTTCCTCACATAAAACTACAATCCTTCATATTCACTCTGGCTTTCGTCACTCTTCGGAGTCTCAATGGCAGGTCTTGGAGGGGAAATTGGAGGAAAGAAGAATTTCGGTCACTTACCCTCTGGCCCGTTGTGGTTTCTTTGGAACTGCTGTTGGGTACCGGAGAAATTTTTCGCATCGATACATGCTCTTGATAAAGGGACGTCATATTACTTTTTGAGTCATCCCTTGGGTTATTTTCAAGTCATCTTCATGCTTATGAGGGCGCTTATTGAATGGAGTCATTTAGATTCTACTAAGTCCGGTGGCTGTGGCAATTTCTTGAAACCTATTGCTAAGTTGAGTCACCAGCTCTCCTCAGTACATTGCAGTTAGATGACATGGTTGCACTCTGATTCTAATCTATGTTCATGTCGTAGTCTGCCATCTACCTAGCTTCAAGGTAATGATGTATGTTCTAAAGCTTCCGGGACTCTTGAAATCACCAATTGAAAGTCACCGATGCTAGGCCTATCCAACCTAACCAGGTAGGCAGCTGCTACAATGCCTAGATATGATCTAGATTCTTGGTACTAGATCTAAATGAGAAATTAGTGTTGGTCTGAGGCGATCCTCACTCTTTCGGCTTCACAGCGACTTAAAGCCTCATCTGCGACGTAACTGTCAAACAACACGGACATAACTTATCCAAGACAACTCCTTTGAAGACTAAATTCGTGCCAAACGCTTCGTATGAGTGGTACATAATCCTCTGTCAGGGTTCCAACCTTATGGTTCTTAGCCGCTTAGACGAGCTGTGTGCCTTGTACCAGAAATAGTTCGGATCAAATTACTAGTCTTGCCCGGTATGCCCATTAGTGCCCAATGGCATGGGGAGCCAAAGACAGTCCTAGCAAAGAAAAAAAAAAGACGGACGTAACGCACATTCATATGACTGAAGGCAAGATGGCCGAGCGGTTAAGGCGGAAGGTTCAAGGATATCCTTGCCTGTATAACAGGCTGTATTCTTCTGGGGAAACCCGCGCGAGTTCGAATCTCGCTCTTGTCAGCTAATTTTTGTTAATTCTTCTTTCGCTTCCAATTTTTTCTTTCTTTTTCTCTTTTGAATAAAGCAAGAATGGCTAGTAAATATCCCACCCCTTTACCCCCCGCGCTAACAGCCCTTCATACAATTGTCCACACAAAGGTGTTAGTTCCACAGATTTCCAGCTATTACCAGTCCAAATTTCGATTCAATTTCAAAACCCGGCCCAGGCCTCCCAACAATTTATACAGCCTATCGTAGCCAGCTCGGCCATCTTAATATGCATCCTAGATCAAAGTTTTTCTTAACCGATGGACTTCGAATGATGTAGGTCTCGAGTTAGTTCATTCATGCCCTGATATTGAAGCTATTCGAGTAATTAGATAGCCATATAATGTAACGGTGACTCTGAGGGTGATCACGTGGTAGCCCCTGAACAGATAACCACTGCTCAAATCGAGAGTTCTCAACAACCCTTGAGCTCTATGACAGTACCATGTCCCGATTCATATTAAGATAGTATTGGTCGATCCGACTTATTAACTTTGACACATAAAACATACTTTGGAGCACGAAACTTCTTAGATAGGTCGTGCCCTTTCAGGTCTTGTTTCGGGTACCTTAAAGCTCTGGCCTATGTTTATGGACGTAGTAAATGTCAGAGTCTTATCTATGGTTGGTAGCAGAAAAGGGGAATGGCAAGGGATGGGCCCCTTTGTATGAGCCCCTTTATCATCACCTCCTGTATACCTAGTATACTCGGTAGCTGTCAGGTTTGTAGCTCTCCACACAACAACGTCGTTGCCTCCTCATCGTTTAGTTGATCTTGTGATAGGCAATATGGCAACAAGTGGACTATTCAAAGGCATATAGACAGTTAGCTCCATACATGAGCGACATAGGAAGCCGAAAGTCTTACGACATGGTTATTTATAGGTTAGTTAAGTGTCGGAGATCTAGCCCTTTGGATCCTGGCCCTTTAGGGTAGGTGACACAAGAGCACTTGGCTATCCGTATTCCTCAATACCTAGGTAGTTAGATAGGTCGAGGAACTCTTCTAGTACCGTGTCGATTCTCACACCTGGAGGTTCGTAATGTGGCATTGAGGATGAAGGCTCGTTAGCTATATACAAGGAATAGCTGAGTGTATTCTTTGTCGAACCTTTAGCCATATCCATGAAATATTTTTCGAGGCACTCTGCCGTAGGATTTCCATTCACGGTGAACGTACCTGTACCTCTACGTATAACGTCTCTGTCGTAGTATCGTACTCCTCGTTTCTGGTCCTGATCGCTGACATATCTCCCCCGGAGACCCCGGAGATAGACTAGTTAATAGATACTAGTTGCGGTCAGTTTCAACACCCACCGCGGCACAGTGGTATCAATGCGAGATGCAGCACCTAAAGTAAGTTCCACAACCCTATGGTTCGATCCTTGGGATGAGCAACTTTGTAGCTGGGTATGATGACCGAATTATGACGCCTCATCTGCATACAGGACCCTGGTGACAGTAGAAGAAATCTGACCTAGCTACAAGCTCAAAATATCCTTCAATGAAGCCATCCTAAAGACGCTGTACCAACTGCTAACATATTCAATCCAGGTTTTTTTTACCTTTTTTTTTTTGGCCCAGGCCTGTACCCAAGCCTGTTAGTTGTTTCTTCTTGTAGTTTTTTCTTCTATTTAATAACACGCAAGATGCAACTATCATCACGCTTATTTGCCCCTAGAACATCTATAGTAAAACTAAGGAGGACAAGAGGCGGCTATTGGTTTTACACTCACTTTCTTACGATGATACCTGGCTAGACTTAAATGACGATTTTATCGGATTTTAGCCAAATAATCAATGAGGATAGAAAATTCGATTTTGGTGACCTTATACGTGTACTAGTTATGTCAGCCCGACGGTTGTTACAGTAAGTTACCTAGGAGGTAGGTAGTTATTCTAAGATGATTTCTTCCTCCTCGAAACATGGCAAACTATAGTTTGTTCCCCAATCAATCACCCCGAGCCATGTCCACATTACGTTATTATTCTTCCTTCCACAGACAGCAAATATAAGTCCTTTAGAAACGCCGCCGTATCCTCCATAAATACTTGCGCATGATCCTTTGTAGGTCTCTCGCGTACCCTCCCGCTGCAAAGGTTGAAGTAATTTGCCCTCGTTATAGCCTTCGAGGTACTTTACTAGCTCCTCGGGCACACATTCATCGACTAGCTGGTTCTTTGAGTGTTGAAAACTTTGGAAAAATGAAGCATAGCCGTTATGAAAGCGGATAGTTGCAACTCCCCAGTTGGCCCGGAGATATATGCTACCTTCCTTGCCAATATCAATCAGACCAATCTGGGACTGGATACCGTCATATGGGGGATACAAAGTAGATGTAGGGGACTCTTCATTGGCTGCAAGATAGGGCCCAGGCTGCCTAGGTGCCCATGACGGACCTTGTCGTGAATTGAGCCTCTGTACGCTTGAGAGCAAGTGGCCAGTGTGAACAACCTTATCGAGGCGTTCTATTCCATGCCTGCCTCTAGCCCATAGATCATTCGCATTCTTGATCACTGGGTCGTCGACCAGGAGACTCCATATGATAACATCATCTCCGGGGCGAGAGGCGAATCTTTGTCCCAGAAGCGAGGCAGCCTCTGATACCGCGACGAAGCCACGGCCTATTCGTCCTGAAACTCGGTCAGCGTCGAAACTGGTATCGAAGATAATATGCTGAAGCTTCGATAACTCTTGGCGACTTGTTTTGGTTCTCATCCAATGGAAGGCGCTCGGAGGCGGAAACAAGTGATGGTTCGTCAAGAGAAGTATCGATATGGCTATAGCCCCATGGAATGCCACAGTTCGAAGTGTTTCAGTTAATGAAATCAATCTATTTTCGCTTCCCGATCTGCATAGGAGCTGGATATTCTTTCTGCCACGTAAGGCTTCTAGCAATGTCCAGGCCCTCAAGTTCCAGTCACAAACAAGGACTATGGCAAGGATAGATTCCCGGAGGGCCATACTAGCGTCGGATATGTTGCCTGTATCTTGTATAATTGAGATGTCGATTTCCATTATGTCTTTATCGCACACCACAGTCGCTTTACTCGTCGAGAAGACCTGATTTATGGTCAAAATGGCTTCTTGACGCAGGTCATGTTCCGAAGGAATACCTTTAAAGGTACACATTAGGTAAGAATATTATTTTTCAATACCTATAGGGGATATCTTGGGAGTGGATACTTACAAGCAACGTCTATCCAATAGCTTGAACAGTTGAAATCTTTTGCAATCCTGCAGTACCGACGATGAAGACATTCATTCATCCCTTCCCCAGGGCGGCCGCCTTGGCCATGGACCCATACATGTGAGATTGCTAGGGTTTCCGTATCGGCTGATTTGTAGCATAGTTGTTCGGAGGAGCTAGAAATAGAGACAGCACGTGGCCCAGACACTTTAAGATATGAAGTTCTATTCCATACCATACGATTGCATGCCTGTTCACCCATACATGAGATGTCGTGCTGGCTCTGTTCAGGGACTTTGGCTCCCCTAATTCTCCTGCAGCTGTCGGGCTCTCGTCCGGAGCACGCCTTATTGTCCAGACACCTTCCTGGCCTTTCCCCAAACACTTCGGTGAATCTTTCGTGAAATTGCCGCATATCGAGTAACGAAGTTGATTTACTTCGTTGTAAGACTTGATATGCAAAGTTACACATGTATTGTGACTTCTGTTGAGACAATACCGTTTGCTGCAACTCCAAGGTAAGAAACGAACCCCTGTTCGGGCGAAGCCCAAGGTCTCCGAAACCAGTGTAATCAAATCCTGTTTCCAAGCTATCTTGTAGAACTCGCCTTCACCAATGTCAACAGAGACGTCTATGTTGGAAATAATGAAGTGACTTACCAGTAATGTAAGGCTACACAGCGATGCCAGGTACTCCACAAGTAAGTAAGAAGTACGAACCAACGCCACGTGTTATGAACCGCGTCTTCCTTCTTGATAGGCCCCTTCTCGAGCTCGAAGAAGACGTTATCAATAAGGCTAGAGACAAAATCTAGAAATTCCCTGAAGTTGTGGGATTCAGAACTGCTCCCATTGGTGTTGGTCTTTCTTTCGAATGTCAAAGCTATGGCGATCGCCATGCGAATCACACCACCCGACAGCCTAGAAACCGTAGAGAGCTTCTCCCAGCAATATGCATTTGCGTCAACTTTAAGCCAGCATCCCGCTATAAGCTCAGCTGTTGGCTGTACTATGTCACTGGGTAGTGGAAGTGGTGTGGGTGGTAAACGTTTCAGCAAAGCTGCCGTGCGATTAACAATGTCACCCCTTGTTGCTTGAGAATTCGGGACCTTGAATCTTGTTATTATGGTGTTCTTTGTGAATTGGCGGTCTAAAATTTCCCACGAGAACTCCTTATAAGTGCACCTGTAGAGATCTCTAAGCATCATCCATCGCCGTCGTTCGTGTGCTTCTGGTGCTAAATGAATTCCAGGAAATACGACGCGTTTACTGGGTCGTGGTGGTGTAGCCTTCGTACCAGCGGTTTCTTTTGCTATACGTCCATTTATATCAATCGCCGAGATATCTTGTGGCCTAAATTCACTTATGAGGTGACAGTCAGTAGTCTCTTCGGTGGAACAGTCTTCCAACTCCTCTAATATCCTGGCAGGTATTTGATGCTCAAAACACATAATGACGAGGTACTTATCAACGCTTGAGGGCAGAGCGAGGCTTTAGCATACATGAAGCTGCTTACCCCCTTCTTGCGAAGCAGTTTTTTCCCCAAACCCCGAGAAGTCCCGTGACATAAGCGGCGATGATGTAGGACATAGGTAGTGTTACAAATTACTAATTTGCACTGCCTCTCTATTTCTCTCTCGGCCTTTCTCTCACCTTCTTCCCCTCCTTCTCTTGCATATATCAAGGCCATTCATCTATGATCTATGTTCTCAAACCTGGTCAGTTCCACAGCGTTGCATTTCTTACGAAGCCTTTTGTCTTATTTATTTTTATTCCAATGGG